GTAGTAAATTTAGTAAAAGTAAGTATAAAAAGGTCTCAATACCTGTGCTGGTTTCTGCTTGTAAATCACTCGTCCCTTAAACTCAGCATACAGGTTTCTGTATAAAGGGATATGATTTAGATTTTTTTTATATATATAAATCTTTGGTGGAATCTGTACCCCAAATTATAGATGAAAAATGTATTGCACGAACACAATGTATAAATATTTTATTACAAATAGGACTCTGAAACTTGAATAAAATGTCAGACCATTATACAATATTTTCCCAATAAAACATGACATGAATGCAAAATTTTACTTGTGCACTTTTCTAGTGCTTGTGAAAGATGTGGACTGACAGTACTGAAGAAAGGAGCTCTCTATTTATTTATCCACAGAACAGGGTCAGCATGGGCAGTGTTAATACAATCTTCCTCATTGATCCCCACCAACATGCTTTTCCTCTATCCTGAAGGTACCACCTCTCCCAGTTAGAGGGTAGATACATTTCCATGCCCATTCACACACTGGCTTCTCTGATGAAACCAATAACAAGGGTTCAGTATGATGGGGACACTGGTTTGGTAGGAATTAATCTGACACCCACTAATTCATTTAACATAGAACACCAGATAGCCAAGATAGGTCGCTTAAGGTCACTTCGGCCTAGATTCAAACAGGAAACGCTGAGAGGAAGAACATTGCATGTCCTGAATGAAAATGTTAGAGGAGATTTTCTGTTTACCATACAGTACCTCTCCAAGAAAATGTCTTGCCTCTCCAAAGTAGCATAATTATAAGTAGTGTAGTAGTGGTAAGTGGATAAGTGTATTTTGATTATCAAACTGCATAAGCAGTTGGTAAAACTATGGTCATTTTCTGTGAGGAAGTAGGATGTCTCTGTGCCTCTGTTTCAGGTCTGTTTCTTCTTTGTCTACAAGTAAGGACCGCGGTGTTAGTCTGTTGATGTTGCTACCACCTAGAACCCAGAGTTTTCACTGAACCTTTCATCTTTCCTTTTTATTGTTGCCAAACAATGGATCACGTCTATTCAACGGCACACATCACCACGAGCCCTTTTTCTACAGTGTAGTGAATCTGTGGTCACACACATACAAGGCACCACAATTTACAGTGGGAATGAAACCCAGGACCATCAGCGTCAGAAAGCACAAATCCCTCCTGCTTGAGCTAAAGGACCGTGCCTGTCCACAGTTTGAGGTCAAGTTCAAGATCAGACTCAGCTCTTCCATATAACGCCCACTGTTGCATTGGGATAGCATGTTTTTAAGGGCCTGATCCACAATATCAGAGGCTGCTTCAGAAAATCTGGCCCATTTTGTCTTTTTTCACCCCCACTAATAGTTGGCTCCAGGAGATACAGAATAATATAGCTTCAAAATTCCTTTTATTCTGTTTCCTTATAATGATTATTGATATCAGCCCCATCTGAGCCCCGATAGTCCAGTAAACCAAGTGTACTCTCATGCATGCTAACTCTTGCTACTTTAGGGTTAAAATTCTATCGGTGGGCTTTTTTTAAACTAAAAAATGCTGCGCTATTCAAGGTTAAGCTTCCTTAAACATAAAACTAAACTCCTGGATTTTAAAAAAAATCAGCAATCCTAATAGTGCTTCCTCACTATAATGTTTCCAACTCCATCTGAAATCATTTAAATACACCCCTTAATAACATGCACTTTATTGTAATATACAGATTTTTTGGCTTCCTACCAGCCCTAGCTTCAGGCACCAATGAAACTCGTTGCCGCAGGGGGCCCTGGATTCAAGAGGGGCTCCCATCTACTGTATATTTTGTTTTGTATGTTTTTCACTGGCTCTAATTATTGCAGGTGGTAGAATTTAGCTGGCAATGTCGCTGCTAAAGAAAATAGGCATAAAGTGTATATAGTGTATTGTGTGAAGCAGCTATCAAATACATAGAGAAGAGAATATCAAATGCATTGTTAAACTGCTTTATAATAAGTGATTTTATTGATTTCATGCAAATACTTAGAAAAGAGTCTTTCATTTATATCTATTATGTATGGACAAAAATTAATTTATTTCTCTAGTCACCTGTTTGGCTAACGGACTCAGCAGGACTGACATCCCACCCACAATATCAGAACCCACAAAACATGAAACATTCAGAAAGCTGGGGTTTTAAAGTTTCCTTAATCAAAATGAAAAATTGTGCAAGCTATTGCCAACTCAGGAAAAAGTGAGGTGGGCTGTGAACAAAAACTATGTAGTCCTCGACAGGGTTATAAAATACAATGGCACTGAATTTTGCCAATCCTTTAATTGTGTGGTGGCACATTTATATGTGCCAGATCATCTGCAGCATCTGAATAAAACCAGGGAAACAAAATTCTGCATAGAAACATTTTGGCTAAGTGCCTTCTTCAGTGTTCTTATCAGGGATTTCCATGAGACGGTACGTTGCATGACAATTCTGAGCAGACTTTTGCCCAGTTAGTATTTTTGGGAGCCTTAGATGATCTGTATCACCGTATTTTTAAAAACACATTTTACTGCATTTTATTTTCCTTTGCTCGTTTGCAAACACTATAGTTTTGGGGGGTTTTTTACATGAGGAGAGGGTTGCAGAAAAATAGGATTTGTAGCTAGATGTGAAAAAAAAAAAGTCAAGACTCAATATGCTAACAAACGTTCTGGGCTCACTGTCTGTCTTGCCACTAATTCTGATGTCTGGAGCACGGCGCTAAACATATACAAAAATGCATTCTTTGTATCTCAGCATTCAGAGAGAAAGTCTAAGTTTCTGTGCCGAATACAGGATATGGAGCATCGATGAAGAGCGAAGGTGCCACACTAGGTACCAGAAGTGTGCCAGCTCTTAGCTTGGCATCCTTGCATGTACCAGTGATCGCCCATCCCTGCTGCCATCTAAATGACTTTTAAAATATTTTTTTAGTTATTCATCTTATTTCCATATTTCTTCACTGTCTGTTTTAAAAAATAAATATTTTTACTATATTTTCACATTATTTTAGTTGTAACGGTCAAACAGTGATTGAACAATGACTTGGTGGGGAAAAAAGAAACATAATGCATGTCCTATGCAATGAAATATGTTGAATTAGTCCTTGAATGCTGACTGAATTTTTAACCTTTGTGGTACCAAAAACATAAAACTTCTGTCAAAATATGGTGTCCAGAATATGGCAACGCTGAGGCTAGGCTTATATGGACTATCTGCTATCCAGGATCTGAGTTTAGAGATAATGCTAACCCACAAAGTTGATATTTAAAATAAAATGTTAGCGACAAAGTTTAAATTTAAAATCTTTGCCAAGATTCCTTCAGGAAATGATTAAAATAATACATTTAGAAGCTGGAGGAGAAGATAGTTCTTAGAGGTAGATAATAATGTTGTGGGATAGCACATTGTCAGTTTTTTTAGCTGAACGTCACGTTGATTTTAACTACAGATATCTACCCTGGAGCTTTCTTTACTAAACATTTTTAATGTTTATATTACAAACTTTATGAAAATTATGTTGTGTGCCCCTTTTATTAGATGTAGTGTTTAATTTATACGGAATTGTCCTTTAAGCTTTTTCACAATAGTTAATGGATACAGTAGCAGGTAAATTTTTAAAAAATATTTAAAATAGGCATTTTCTTTATAGTACTCAGTGGTAATTAAAAGCTTCATTTGCTTAAAAGCAAGGGGCCTTTTTAAAGCAATAAATTAGCATTGCTTGACCCAAGGTCTCTAGTAGTGCTGCTTCTTTCAGTGCTATTAATACCTCAAAGAAATAGAAAGGGGGGTGTTATCACTCCATTGCAATAGAAGTAAGATTTTCAATTTAATCACAGTTAAGTGTCATGACCTTTTGATCTTGCATTGACTTCTTACTGAAATGTAGTCCAATTTCAGACAGCTAATTCTAAACCTTACACAGTCAAGGTGAAGTGAGGAAATAGGTTTACCACAAATGTAGATTTTTTTTAATACAGTAACAAATGGTTTCATTCCTTAAATGTGTTTTGAGTTAAAGCTTTTTTAAAAGTTTAAATTTATCCCACATTGTTCTTTTACCCAAAACTGATAAAGTGTGATTTCTTTTAACTCTGTAATGTTTCTGTTAGTCTTAAGAAAACCTAGTTAAGAGGTTGAGTTTTTCTTTAGAAAATATTTTTTTACACATATAAAGCATTTTTTCCAATTTGAAGAGCAGACAGTTAAAAATAATTATGAAACAAAAATCTTGTTTACCCAAAGCGTCTCTTAAAAATCTTTATTTTTTAACTAAAGGCACCTTTTTTAGTACAAAAGAAAGTGAATGTAGATTAACAAACCTACATCAACAGATATGATCTTACGGGTAGTTTTATTGTTTCAGGCAAATATATTAGTAGGTTAGTTGGAGACTTCTAGCTGGGAACCTGTAGAATTCATTATTGGTGCATGTTCGGAAGCCATTGGTTCAGCATCTGATCTCACTTTACACCATCTAAATGAGGAGTAATGCCATCTATTTCAGTGTGCTACACCACTGTATCCGCAGGGAAAGCACGATGAGAATCAGGTCTTCTATCTGGATTGTGAATTTCTGTTGCTGTAACATATAGACAGTAATCAGAACATGTTAGTTAGCATTACTTTTAGCGTTAGTTACTGTTATATGCCAGTTTAAAAATATGTTTTGACTCTGGATTAAGTCTCAGGTTTGTATGCAGCATACAAACTGCATTATAAAAAAATGTAGAAAAGCAGTTTAAATCAGGCTTCCTTTAAAGAGAAGATTTCTCTAAGCCTAATTTATGCTAATACACAGACTGAACACCCCATGCAATGATGTAAACAAGATACAGTTTCTTCCTAGCATAAATATGACCAGGGCATGGCCTCCTAGCATTGTCATGTCCTAGTGCAACATTCCTGTCCTTAGCTTGTACTTTCAACCTTTTAAGGAAGTCTGGCGCCTGTGATCTACTTTCCACAGCAGACCCTGTAATTTTTGGCTGTATTTTATGTTTTTCAGATTCAAGTCAATCTGAAAGTCCCAGCCAGCCAAGTGAAGCTGATATTAAGGACCAGCCAGAAAATGGTAAGTTCTTACCTACTGCTACTTTGGAATATTACAATAGTCCATGTTTACAAGGATTTTCATTTTCAAGTAATAAGTGTATATATCTAGTATAAAAAGACTCAGTCTTTGAACAATTGACTTGAGATCTCTGCAAATGAATGGTGCATCTTCTTCATAGTTAAATGCCAAGGTTTCACAAAATTAGAGTAGCATTTGTCTCTACAATCCTGGAGGCAGATCTTTATTCCGTTAAAAATATTTTAATTTGGGGGATGCTGTAATAGAGCCCGCTGCATGCAGCACTGGGGTTCTTTTCACTATAGCAGAAGCTTTCAATCCATGGGTCATGAGTCATGACCCTCTCGGGGGTGCCTACAACATTACTTTCATTTTTATCTGTGTGCTTTTAACGTTGTTTTGTTTATTGATGTTTTCATGATAACGGAACACTCTGAAGTACCTGACTCACAGTGTCTGTCCAGCTCATCATTTTAGATTGTGGGATTTCAAATCGTTCTGCAAAACAAAACAGTCGCTTTGAAGTATTATAATTTTTCTGCAACCACTTCTCTCTGCCCCTAAAAAGTACACACAATAAAACTGGCAGGCAGTTCTCCTGAAGCTCTCGAAGCAGGACTGGAAATCTATGAACACAGCAGCCACTCAAACTATTAACCACTTCTTGAGTGATAAAAGTTTTTTCAGAGCTGTCTATATTTTCATTGGCATGCTTCTGAGAGGGTGGTAGTATTACAAGGAGAGAAGAGATGCAGTAGAACTCAAATCTTAATTTGCTGCTTCTTTTTCTACTTTTATTTCTAAAGCTTGTTTCTGAAGACAGCTATTCGACCTTATTAGAAAGCAGCCCCATAGCTGTGAATTTTAAGAATACTGCAGTGAGACTGCTGCATTGTTTTAATAGGGAGTCGTAGGCACAGAAGTCCCATTGAGAAAGGCTAAGCCATAAGGTCACTACTGTGAGCAGGTACTAGTATTTTCTGAGGTGGGACAGTTTCTAAGTAGAAGTAATGGCTGTGTGGAATTGAACCCATGGAAGGGCCATCACAGCTGGCTTCCATTGTAAAAGGGCCCAGAGAAGCATTTGCTGTCAGTAATTGAGCTAGGGGATTGTATGTGAAAAGATAGATGAAGATACAAAGGGAAGAGCTTGAGGTAAAAACAATACCCTTCTCTTCCCTTCCCCGCCAAAAAAAACAAACAAAAAAAAACAGCCCAACATCTCTTATGGTCCCTTTGGCAATTGAAATTCTGTACCTTCTGTTACTACAGATAATTATTTTCATTAGTGCTTGGAATCAAAAAATGATGACATCCAACATTGGAGATAATTGAAACTGAGACAATCCCTGGTTATTCTGAATTTTTTGTCTATTGTTTTTAAAACTTGTACTTATAATTATTAGTAGTAAGTGTACATATTGTAGTAGCATCAAGAGGCCACAGTTGAGAGTGGGGCCCCATTGTGCTGGATGCTATCTAAACACAGAAAAGAGACTTGTAACGTCTGCCCTGTAGGGCTTACAATCTAAAGCCCCTTTCACACTTATGGGAGCATTAAAAATCTCTCTCATATAGGATTTCTATATATACAAGAGAGAAATCTCATATCCCTTTAACAAATCCACCAGATTGATTTTTGATTTGGTGTGCTTTTATTGATGCCGCTCTACTTTATCGTACGTCACTGTTTCCTTGTATGTTTTGAATGTTTATATTGAATACTTGACTAGTAAATAAACAAGTCACAAATAGGGATGAGACAAAAATGGTGGTGCTCAGATCTGGATTCCATTTGGATTAGAGTTCAGAGTTAGAGTTTAGGGTTCAAGGCAGAATAGAGCTAGTATTTATATTCAATAATATCAAAATCTTAAGAGCTTTTCTCAGGAAATTTCAGCATCACACACTAAAAATCTCATGGTATCAGGTGATGTGGTGAGATGTCTAGCATTCTGGATCACTATTTCTCTCCCTCTGAAATTTGAAAGGATTCAGATTTGAGGGCCTTTATTCTGCTCATCTCTAGCCACAATGTCTGAAAACATTTTTCTGACTATTGAATGACGGTGTCTAGCTTCTCTTATCAGTGCTGTTTTACAACAATTATAATTTATTGCAAAAGGATTGCCAGGTTTGGAGATGAATTGGCTAAACTGTGAAATCTGTTCTGCCAGTTCTGAATTTTTTTTTAATATGTTGCCTCTGTTTATTAGGTCACATTTTAATTTAGACTTTGCTAGGCACCCCGAATCCTTCTGACTCTGGTGTTCTGTTGTTATTATTTGTGTCTGGTTGATATTCTTTTGCAGCTTCTCAACAACTGTTCTCCTTACTGTGCAGTGCTCAGTCTTAAGGAAGCACATTTCACAACTGCCACCCAAAAAGCAGCAATGACAGTGAATAATATAAAATGTGTCAAACCCCAGTAACACTAAATATGTCAGTTCTGGAGCCTTAATGCTTCTTGTAAATCAAACTTTAATGAATTATTGGAATGTCACTGGTGACTTGTCAATAGTACTACTTTTTTCCTTAAAAAATAATTGGGAAAATTATTCTTACTCTCAGTTTTAGTAATGGGTATTTTTCCCCACTATAACAGAATCCTTGTATCTGATTAGTTGCAGTTTGCAGTATCTGTGTGGGAGAATCCCTAAACTAACACATGCAGTTGGGTCTAAAAGGCCTGATCCCTCCAGGTTGATGTTGAGTTCATTCTCAGTGCACACACAGTCCACAGCTTGCAGTGTACCTGACCCAGCACGGAGATCAACATAGCCCTGCAGTTCTGATCTGCTGAATGCCAGGATGAAAGCCAAACGGCAGGCTTTAGAAAATGAAAAACTGCACACACAAAAGTGCATACAGAAATCATATTCACTGTGTTGTTCCACACTTGCCATAGACCACTACCATAGACCCCGATCCAAATACCTCTGGAGTCAAGGGTAGTCTCAGCACTAATTTTAGTGGCAGTTGGATTGTGCCCACAGAGAGGGAAATGTCGTAAAAATCAAAGAAAATAGCAGTGGGATAATTCTGCTCCCACTGAAGTCAACAGCAGAGCAACCAGATTGAGGACAGATTTTGGATCATATTGCATGGATTTCTGTAAGGAGTCTACAAGCGTATCAATTAAGAGTACTACCCCTCACATGCACACATTCCTTCATTTAAAAAAATAAATCTTTAAAAGCCTTCTGAGGGTTGCACAGCCCCTCTGCTTGCCTGTTAATATCCTTTCTGTTCCACTCCATAAATTCTAAAGTTATTTATTATACATATATATTTTGCATAGCTTGAGTAATGTAGGTTCAAAAGGGTCAGCTATATAGCCCTGAAAAACAAGATCTACAGTAAGTTTTAATTCATTGTTTAAAATTCTGTAGGTTGCTTTAGGAAGAATCATCCATTTAAAGCAACAGAGGGTCCTGTGGCACCTTTGAGACTAGTTTCACTAAACTAAAGCTAATGCAAATAATTACTCTTGTATTTAGAGCCATCCATTTTCTCCAGTGGGTTTCATGGTTGCTATCACTCAGACAGAGCCAGCAGACAGAAAAATATTTGGTGCCAACTGCTCCCAAAACGGCCCCTGCCACTCATTTCTTTTCTTTAGCCTTTGCTAAGACACAGCTTCAGGCAACCGCTTACCCTATTAGCCCTGCTACAACTAACAGAATCCCAAAGAAAGAAATTTTTTTCAAGAAATCCAGCAAAGAGATGAACAAGTGTATTGTAGCCATCACAGGACCCTCTTCCTGGTCTTCACTGGAAATCCCCAGATTAAATCCTAACCAGATAAAGAAGGAAATTGAGAGAAGGGAAGATCATGTGTCTCAACTTCAGCTGGGTAAAAGGCAAAGTATATGAAGGAGAGCAGAAAAAACCATCATGAGTCTCCCAATACCAAATTTAGTCCTTGGCTCCCTCCTGTTTGTATTCAGAGCTGGTTGATATCTTCATCCAGGCATACATTGCAGCCTGACTAGTTGGAGCAGAAAGAGGTCTCTCCAACATTAGACAGACTCTCCACACATGAATAAGAAAAAGCGATGGGTGTAGAGTCTGTCCAGTAGAAAACTCAAACAGTGGATTGACTTCTTTTGACCATGTCCTTCAACTGCCTTTGGAAAAGGAGGTTGGAATAGCTCTCAGCAGCAAGGTACTCATGAAGAGACTGGACTTGTTAAAGAGGAAAATAGTTTATTCTTCGAGTAGTATCCCTGTAGGTGTTTCACTGTAGGTGTGTGTGCGTCCCTGCGCTGCTGATTGGAGAACATTGGTAGCAGTGTCTGTTGGGTCCACAACATGCACTGTCACTGTCCTTGTGCTTGGCCACGAGGCTAGCCAGCACACGTGGGCTAACCATCCTCAGTTCCTTCTCAACCGCCCCTGACTAGAGACGGAGCCTATAGCTGTCCATTAGCAGATCATTAACTCTCCTTTTCATTTGTTAATTTTTAGCTTTCTTCTGACTTTTATTTGGCCGTGCCTTTAAAAAAAAACAAAAACAAAAACAAAAAGAAGAAAAGAAAAAAAAAATCTGGCATCTGATTGCCAACATATGCCGAATACATTGCTCATACAAAATCTGTAGAGGGGAGATTTTTATCTAACAAATAAAATATTTAATGCCCAAATCAAACATTTTCATTTTAATACATTCTTCCTGCTTTGAGCTGCAAGTATCTTCATATCACCACAGGTAATGATAGGCACCTTGTTCTTCATTGCATTAAAAAAGACCAAACAATGATGTGAAGCAACTCACCGAACATGTTTTTCAACCCTGCAGTAATTAGACTGAACTTGTAAACATTGCCATTTAAGTAGCGCTGGTCTTGGGTATTAAACATGAAAGAAACGCGTTTTTTAAAAAATACCATGTACCAACTTTTCAGTGCTTAAAACCACAATGGAACAAATTGTGGCCCCTCATAATGTGCGTGGTTGAAGTGGGGATGGGATGGTTGAAGTGGGGATGGGATGAAGTG